TTCCATTCATGCTCATTTTCCATCCTGAAACTTTTCAAATGTGTATTTAGATCCCTATTCGGGTTTAGCCTCAAAAATCCTCTTACTAAGGTTTCTAATATAATCTCTAACCCTTTATCACTTCTATTTCATACTCAAGTCATTGAGACTTCATTAAAGTCTCTGACTTGTTTGTCTCGAGATTTCAGAAGATTTTTACTTTGTAGTTTGATCCTTGTGAATCCTCTTATCCCTTCAGAAAACTTATGGAATTCCTGTTAACAGAAGTCAAATAGCCTTTAAACTACTTTTTGTACTACATAACCCAAAAATTCGGGATGTTACACTAACCAGCATATGAGGGATGATCGTCACCCCTTAGGTGTCTAATGGGTGGAGGAACAATGGGCGTGAGGAGAGTCCTTCGCTGACGTCTTTCTCTTCTCCCATTAGACTCTCTCTTGGGTTTTTGTGCAAGTATTCTTGGGCCCACAAGCTGGGCTTTTCTTTCCCGCTGAATCGCAACCTAAGCTTCTGGTACCGTCAAGAAACCCATTTCCCTTACTTGTTGAATCGCACAGCTGAACTGGAGAGAACTTTTATTGAATGAAAAATTGGAAATTACACCACCAGTTTGCATCAAGAGAGAGATAAGTATTCATACATATGGAATGAAAGTAAAAAACAACTAGATGCACCGTTTACAATTTTAACAAACTAAATACAACACAACAGCTAAATAATATTCTATTTTTATCAGATTGACTTTAAAATCTTTGTAAAATATACAGAGAAGCGGGTTTAATTGTGTAAAATTGACCAAGAAAATTTTGAATAATTTAATCCTTAAAAAAACATCAAATCAACAGTTTAATTTTCTTTGATGGAATGCCGTTAGTTGTCTTTTGCCTGAGCGTCTTTGCTATCCACATATATGAATAATTGCGGGGAGCATGTTATGAAGATTGTGTGAAACAGACAAAGACCTGAATTTAAATGACTTTGACAATGGAAAAAGGAACCTGAGTTTAAATGACTTTGACAATGGAAAAAGGAAACAAGTTAGGTATTTAATTTGATTTAACATATAATTTCACTTTTTTTTGAGTTTGAAAGGTTTCAAATTTCAATGGGGTTAGTTGGTTAGACGGCTCCTATAACTAGAAAACAAACCATTTCCTTTTCAATCTATAATTTCAAACCACCCATTGTTGACCCTACGTATACTTGAAAGATTCATCATATAATCTAACCTAATAATTTTCTCTAATTGAATTATTAAAAAATTGACCCCAATTTTTTATTTATCAAAACTTTGAATTTTGATATCTTGCCGGGTTTTAGGATTATTGTCTACTGAGCAAAGTTCCCGAAATAGCTAGATTCAACCTAGCAGACTGTTTTCGTGTTGAGTTGAGTGGATTGGTTATTTTTTGTGAAAGTACACTTTGGCCATATAATCTTATACTTGGAGAAAATTTTTCACTGTTTAGATATTTATTATAAGTCATTGAGAATTTTTTATCCTATTTAATAATCATTTTTCAATTTTATATTTATTAAATTTTAGTTGAAAAAAGAGAGAGAAGAGAGATGTGAAAATAATTTGTAAATACAGAAACAGAAAAAACATTAATAAAAATAAATTTAAAAAATATTATTAATTTATTACATTTCTTGATATTAAAAAATGTGTTACAAGTGACTTATAATAAAAACTAGAGTGATATATAATATTTTAATTGGATCATTTAATTACATAAAATATTTTATAAGTCATCCAACTTTAATAATTCTGATCTTAAATAATGATTTTTTATGTTAATCATTATTATTAAAAATTAATATATATTAGCATTGAGAATGTTCAGTCAATATTTAAAATTTTAATATCACTTTTTTTATTAAAAATAATAATATTATAATATTAAAGTACTGAAAATATACTTCATAAAATTCAAATAAGGAAGTAAAATGTTATATAAAGTTCTAGGGCAATAGCATTTCTTTATTTATAATTCCCTTCAGTAGGTGTACTAAATTGGTGAGCAATATTTGAACCTAAACCACTAATATGCAATTATCAAGGTTTCAATTAGCATGTGGCATCTGCTTGGTCTTCGACTAATGTTTATACGACCTTTTCTTTTCATCATAGTGCTTCCTTATCATAACCTTGATAAGAATGTCCAGAACCGACCTAACTAGAAGTTTTTTTCATGCAATTTTTTTATAAATAAATAAAATAATATAATTATACTACTTCCTGTTGTTCATATAAAAATTAGTTTAATATTTAATTTCATCCTGAATACTCTTATATCTATATGTTTTTTTAAAATAGTCTTTATAATAGTTACATATATTAAATGTTTTATCAAATACCAAATGATAGTATTTTAATGTTCAGAGAAATTGACTTATTTATTGTAGTTGACTCCCAGGAAAACCCTCATATTCGGCTGAGAGCTTAGAATAATGCAGGACACATGTCAACTTAGTAATTAAAATGAAAATGCACATGAAAAGAGGTGAGCGCCGCCCAAATGGTGAATAAAAGTGGAAGAGGAACATGAGCGTAATCAATTCACGCTCACAATAATAATGAGAACGAATGTCTGCTTTCTCTCACTACGCCGGGTGTTCTATATTCACCAGCGCCAACGATTCTCTGAATCTCCAAATTTAATAGTATAACTTAGTACCACTCGGGTCCTTGACATAAGCGACTTGCAAGGAGAAATTTGGGATTTTAAATCTAATTTAAATGATAGTTTTTTCTATTAAATAAAACTAACAATGTCAAAATTAAATGACTTAATATAAATATAATTATATAAATAATTAAATGTATATCTGAACAAAAAATTAATGATTTAATCACCTTTCTTATGAAGTGGTCATTGGTGCTTTATTATAATAATTATGAGCAAATGTTTTGTATTTAACCAAAAAAATTATAAAAGCGATTGGAGTCAGTCTCATTAAAGAGCAAACTTGGTCAATGATTAGATTGATAATGGTTGATTTTTTTATATTGGAAATAAGTTGCCTTGGATTAAGAAGCGACAACAAGGACAAAAAGGGACGACAATTTGCTGGGGCATAGGCCTTGGATTCTAAAACAGTTTTAGAGAAATAATAAATAAAGACCATTAAAAATATAAAATTATAATTTGGGTATTTCAATTCACAAAATAGCTATCAGAGATCGGGTCCTAAATTGTAATTATGAAATAAAGTCCAAATGACTCAAATGCCCTTCCTTTTCTCTTTTTTCTAGCATCCCATTTCTTTCTCTTTACTTCTTCTCTTCCTCTCCCTCTTCCTCTCTCTTATGATATCAAAAACTTAAATTTCTGACTTCCTTTCTCTCTCTCTCTCTTCTCTTCCTTCTCTTTCCTTCTTCTACTCTCCTTCAACTTCATTCTTCTTCTCCAGAATCGTGACTTTCTTCCATGTTTTTTCCAACCCATTGATTTGCAATGGAAGAAATGAAAACATGTTAATCATGTAGCTTCCATATTTAATTTTCTGCAAAACATGTAATGCTAATATAGTACTCTTCATATAGAAGCTCTCATTATCCATAATCTCTCTTTATTCCACAATCTCATCTCCTGCTGATATACTCAAATTAACAACTATTACCTCCTTCCATTGTAAAAAATTGGTTGTTGTCAAAGAATTATGAAATTTATCATTTCAGAAGAGAAATGTAAATTTGTATGAAAACCTTATCAGAAGTGACAAGTTCACTATGCCAAATGACAAACTGAGTATGGTAAATAACAAGTTCCCATAAGGTTTTCATACAATTTCAAATTTCTCTGTTAAAATGACTGAATTTTCATATTAATTTATGAAGTGACAAGTTTACTACGGCAAATGATAAGTTGAGTTTGACAAATGACAAGTTTTCATAAGGTTTTCATACAATTTCAAATTTCTCTATTAAAATGACTGAATTTCCACATTGATTTACGAAGTGACAAGTTTACTATGGCAAATGACAAGTTGAATATGACAAATGACAAGTTCCCATAAGATTTTCATACAATTTCAAATTTCTCTGTTAAAATGACTGAATTTCCAAATTGATTTACGAAGTGACAAGTTTACTATGGCAAATGACAAGTTCTCATAAAGTTTTCATGCAATTTCAAATTTCTCTATCAAAATGACTAAATTTCCACATTGATTTACGAAGTGACAAGTTTACTATGACAAATGACAAGTTGAGTTTGGCAAATGATAAGTTCCCATAAGATTTTCACACAATTTCAAATTTCTTTGTCAAAATGAATGAATTTCCACATTGATTTAGGAAATGACAAGTTTACTATGGCAAATGACAAGTTGAGTTTGGCAAATGACAAGTTCCCATAAGGTTTTCATACAATTTCAAATTTTTCTGTCAAAATGAATGAATTTCCACATTGATTTACGAAGTGACAAGTTTATTATGGCAAATAACAAGTTGAGTATGACAAATGACAAGTTCCCATAAGATTTTCATACAATTCCAAATTTCTTTGTTAAAATAACTGAATTTCCACATTGATTTACGAAGTGACAAGTTTACTATAGCAAATGCTAAGTTGAGTTTGGCAAATAAAAAGTTCCCATAAGGTTTTCATATAATTTCAAATTTCTCTGTCAAAATGACTGAATTTTCACATTGATTTACGAAGTAACAAGTTTACTATAACAAATGACAAGTTGTGTATGACAAATAATAAGTTCTCATAAGATTTTCATACAATTTCAAATTTCTCTGTTAAAATTAAAATTTGCAAATTTCTGACAGCAACCACTTCTGATAAGTAATAAATGACAAGTTCAATAAGGTCAATGTCAAGTTCAGTGAGTTGAACCCCTTGTACAAGGAAACTAATTACAAGCTGCACCTCATGCAATCTTGAGTCTTACATTCCATCATAAAGTTGACTTCCCTTCCTCATTCACATGCAATGAATCATCTAAGCTTTCATTCTTTAAGGAGGAGTAGATTATGAATTTATCACCCATCAAATTGAAATGCATTTCCTGATCTAACCATAGTCCTCAAAGAATTTCTTGATACCTTGTTCCAATTTGAAGAATTGCCCTGTACGCAAGACCAAATCCAATGTGATCTGGGTATGTTTTCTGGGTATGTACACAAAACAAAATTCAAACTAAAAGACACATACATGTTAAAATAGCCTTTGACTTTTTCCATGAAATTGATAAATTGACTAATGAAAGGTAATCATGAATTTTCATTTCTTGATTTCCTCCATAACTACCTGACTCACAAAGACAATATTAAAGACAAAGTAAAGGCAGAAGGAGGAATTCAAATAAGCCTAGGTAAGGATAAGGCGTAAGTATCTTCAAGCTTTTGGTATAGTTTTCGTAAGTTATGGTAAGGTAATTATTAGATATGCATAAAGTCTTGTTTTAGACAGTAGAAAAACATAATGACTTGCTAATGTTCTGGATATATCCAAGGTCATAAAAGATGAATCAAATAATGTTCCAGATTTGGTACTTAGTTCAAGCAAGGGATGGAAACCATGTAATAGATGATTAAGAACAGAATATCACACTCTGTAAGCATTACACATAATCTTAAACAAGCATAAAACAATGCTCCAACATGCTTTGCTACAATGTTCCTTCCCTCTCTAAGATAAGGAATAATAATTTCAAACTAGACTTTCTCTTCAAAATCCAACAAACTATTGCAATATTTTTTGTTACAAGATAGATAATAATACAAGCTGAAACTTTACCAAATGTTCTAAGGTACAGATCCTTCTTCCTTGTAGCATGGCCAATTCTAGCTTGCCATCTACCTTGTTGGTGAGCCTACAAGATTAAAAGATTTGATTTAATCATTTTTCCCAGTTAGCAACAAAGTTGAATTTCACCAACATGATTCAGCTTCTTAATCTTAAGAGATGAAAAATTGAAATTGAAACCATGTAAAAATGCACATTCATGTCACTAACTGAAATAAAAAATAGTTTTCCACTCAACAATAATTGTGAAGTCCACATGAAATGAAGCTAAGGCCAACAACACCCTTTTACAGAAACAGGTATGATACACACCAATGGAGAAAATTCAAAATTTTTGAGTGATGTTAAAGAAAAAGCAAGTGTTGGCATGCTCAGCAATGGTTAAAGCTATGGCACACCACCTTACGCAAAGCCCTACAAAAAGTTTATGAGCAATTTTATTAATCTCACAAGCGAAATTGAGTCTGACAATGCTTGACAAATTCAAACCCAAAGGATCATTAAATGAAATCAAACTGACTCAAAAATTCACTATATTTGATGCAAATCTATATGAGAAGAGCTGAAGATAATAACAAACCATAAGGCAAAGTTTTCTCGGTGATAAGGATAGAAGAGGTGAAAGCAAGGAAGGGGTAAAGGTTCGTGGCTATGGAAGGTGGAAATGGAGATAAGGTTTTGAGCTATGGCAGAAGAATCAGAACATAGCAGCGTCTTTCTCCCCCTCTCTCCCTCTAAATTCTGAAGTGAGAGAAGCGGTTTGGGTGAGGATTAGAGTGTAATGCTTCGATCTTGATTCAGCAGCAGCAAAGAGAAGGATGAAGAGAGAGAGAAAGAGAGAGCAAGAGAAGAAAGAAAGAGAAGGGGAGGATGAGACAGAAGGAAGAGAAGGGGAAGGGCATTTTTTACTTTTATCCTACATTTCATAACTCATATTTAGGACCCGGCCCCTCACAGCAATTTTGTGAATTGAAGTACTCAAGTTGCAATTTTATATTTTCGAAGATCTTTATTTGCTATTTTCCCAACAGCTTTTTCATAATGCTAAAAATTGATATTTTAAATTTTAAATATTTATAAACACTAAAAACCGTATTTTTTATGAAGTTCTTGATTTATAGATATTAACTAATATCTAATATATAAATCCTTTAAATTATATTTATATGGCCAATAATCCAATTTTTTAATCTATAATTTCTAAAGTAACAAAAAATTATTTTTTATATATAGTGACAATTAAAAAATTTATTTATTTTAGATTTTCTATCAAAATAAAGAATTATAAAAAATATATAAAAAATAACTTTAACATTAATTTTGCACCAAGACAATCCAAATTCAACAATAAATTAAGAATATTAATAACAAAACTTAATCTGATGAGGTAAAAAGGAGAAGTTGGGACGTTGGGGATAGATGCACTCTCCTTTTGGTCCCACATTTTCTGCAGATTATGCCTCCAGAGCATGTACAATCAAACTGAGAATCATATATTCAAATTCAGATTTAAAAATTTGACCCAAAAAAAATCAGATTTAAAATTGAAATATTATTTTATTTCTTTTTATATGCCACGTCTCGTGCTTAATATAATACTACCTCTGGTCCTTAATATAAAAGCTTATCTGACTTTTATTTTGATTCTAAATATAAGACCCTAATGTATTTTATCTATCATATTTATTCATTTTTTTAAGGTAGTCTTTGTAATAATAATAGTTTTAGCCAATACATTTGATTAGAAAGGATATTTTTAAAAAAGACAACATTTACTTAATATAAATAACTAATTTAATTAGTTTTCTTAATTTACTCAAATTAGTTAACTAGCTTTTATATTAAGGACGGAGGTAGTAGTTAGTTAAAAATTAAATTTGATTTTAAATATTAGATTTTAATCTACTTAATTTATAATATTTATCAATTTCTTTTGCAATAGTCCCTATGGTACTTATATATGTCAGAGGGTAGTTCTAATAGATATGATTAACAAGGATATTTTAGAAAAGACAACACATATTTATTATACAAATTTAACTTAGCTAATTTTCTTAATATTTAGAAATATTAAGTAGGGGTAACAGTACAAAGAGAGATATAGATGTATGTATTTGATCTTATTTATAAGACAGAGAGAGGAAGTTTTTTTTATTCTATTTATAAGTCACTTCATTAAATTTTTGCCATGAATATACTATGTCGTCTTTCATTTATTATAATATAGATAGTTATTTTTTAAAATGTGTATATATTAAATAGTGATAAAATTAAAAAATTATTATATTTTAATAAAAAATTAATATAATTGAAGATATCTTTTTAATTTATATAAAACATATTAAAAATACTTTATAAATAGGACTAATATGCACAAATCTAGACAAGTAGTGATGCACCCAAAGAAGCCAAACGCACTTGTGTGCGCCTAGTTTAGTGGGTTCACGCCGCTGTCATGCGCCACAGCTCATTCCTCATTGCCCACGCAATCTGTTTATCTTTCTTTCCCGCTGTGAATTGGGTCCCACCATTGATTTGGAAGGTATGTTTGCCTTAGAGGTGTTTAGATATAAATAAAACCATATTTTCAGAAATGATTTTACAGTTTATAAAATAAATATGTGGAGGAGTTTGTCTCTATTTACGAAAAATGCTTCTAAAAAGCACTTATGGGCTCATCCAAACACCTCGTTAAACCTTATCTGGAAGCTTAAAATGTATTATTTCAATAATATAAATCCAATTTATCTAAATTAGTGAAAATTTATCAGAATAAGCTAAAAATATATATAAACTCAAATTTATTTTCTTTTACGTCTCGAGATCTTCTTAGATTCATAAATCCTTAACCGTGCTTTTTATCAAACGAATGAACCAACTGTCAATATTCTTTTTATATGGAATAAAATATGACCACACAAGTTTCCTTTATTTATTTGTTCCATAATTTTTGTTGTCATGTCAAATTATGTGTGCGTATGTATCCCATTTCATTTTGATGCTATATCTATAGCCCCATAATTCTTTCCTAAATTTATAATTTTCTTAATTCTTATTATTAATTATATATATTGAGAAATTTTTTCATCAAAAGAATGCAAAGAATTAACAGTAATATTTTAAAAAAATTAACACATATTTTATAAACGGATAACTTACCTATTTTTGTTAATTTTTGTATATTGATTATCAAACTCGTACATTTAAAAATAGATAGACTGTGTATATGTGAAAATTAAGAAAACTAAAAAGAAAATTCTAGCAAGTAGCAATGCGAAAATTTCAGTCTCCTCTAATACACACATTTCTGAATATTTCTAAGGGAAAAGTACACACAGGTCCCACAGAACAGAATTAATTCACATAGGGTCCCTGGAAATCCCCAAATTCTTCCTAAGTCCCCAAGGACCTCAGAGCAAATAATTGAATTTGTGAAATGATCGAGTTGCCCCCCTCCCAATTAATTTGAGTTTGAATGTTTTGCCCGCGTCAAACCCTTGGCCCCTGCTTTATTTCTCATTTGGATAACCATCACCTATTTGAAAAACCAGTTCCTGGGGAGTTCGTGTTGCATTTGTGGTTGGCATCGTGGGTTCATCATTGGTTCTCTCTGGGTGAGTCCTCGTTCAACTCTCAATTTCTTCTCCATCGTCCAAACAATTGCATGGAAATCTGCTTTTACCGTTCTCATTTTTTCATCTCCCGCAACCTGTGGTTACATCAACCTATCAGCAAAGGAAAGTACACCAGGCGAGCACAACCGGGTGCATCTTCATTATCTTCACTACAGTCACATTGCCTAAACCCACCAGCGTGGGCGACCTACCTTCCCGAAAAGCCTGCTCTAGCGCTGTAAGAATGCCACAAGGTGAGAATGTCAGATCTAGCAACCACGATTTTTGCCTATGCTTTGTAATTTTTGCTTTTGTATCTGGCTTTCAATATTCGAGTGTTAATGGATGGCAATTTTTGGCTTTATTGTAGAACTTATTATTTTGGGTTCCTTGTAATGAAGTTTCGATGCCTTATATATTTATTGAGGATAACATTCAGTTTATATATTAAGAAAGTGAAGGCTGAACTTGTCTAATCTAATATGAACATCGTAATTGGCTAAGATAGTGACAAGCGGTTGGAAAGTTATAATGTCATGACAATATTTATTTTCCTTTTTGCAGTTGAACAAAATGGCTAAAAAGAGTAAGAGTAAAGATGAACAAAGGCATAAGAACTTCTCGGGATACATACTATTTATTAACGAATTTTATGAGAAGAACAAGAAGAAGTTCAAGTGTTTTGAAGAGGGCAGTGACTGTGAAAAAGGCTTGGAGGAAGTTAACGGAAGAGGAGAGAGAACAATATAGTCAAAGGGCTAAAGAAATGAGAGTCCCACCAAAAGGGAAGAATTATATTGTTCCTTTCCACACACGGTGTGTTCTGGGACAATTTGTGGAAGTTTGCAAGCACTTAAAGAAAAGTGAAGATAAGATGGAAAGGCTAAGAAGAATTGGTTTTGATAAATTGGTTGAAATATGCTGCTCACAAATTTATAAAGATTTTTGTGGTGAATTGATCCGTGTTTAACCCTATAAGTAAGAAAATTTCAATTCGAGGGAAGACGCATTAAATGGGGCCAGCAGATGTTAATCAATTGATGGGTCTATCATTTAAGGGAAAAGAAATTAAAATAATGTGGAGAGTGAAGATGAAACAATTAAGGAATTAAGGAGTGACTACGAGAAAGTGCTATACAAAACAATAAGAAGATGGTTAATTGAAGGCAAAGAGGATGAAAAGTTTGAATTCCTTTTTGTTATGTATGCATTAGGAGTCCTTTTGTGTCCTGGCTCTAATGTATGGGTCAATGATAAAGTATTGAAGGTCATGGTGGCGACCAATGATAGTTTAGGATAGCATAATTGGAGCAGCTTCATTTTCAGAGAATTTTGCAACTCAATTACAGAGTTCAAGAAAGGAAAAAAGAAAGAAAAAGCTTATGGGACAAAATATGTGGGAGGTTGCTTGTATTTTTTAATGGTAAGTGTGCGTATGATTCATTTACTTTGAAGTTAGTTGTATTGTCATTGTGTGATGTGCTGTTATCAATGGGTGCTATGTATGTTGTAGTTGGTGGCTCTGTATGTTGTCATTGACTACTCTATATGTTGTCATTCGGTGGCATGGACGTTGTTGAATGCTTATGTGTATGTTGTGATTAGGGCATGTGAAGGTTGTTATTGGCCTCTGCGGGTTTGTCACGTATTGATGTGTATATTGTAATTGCTTGCTGTGCATGTTGTTAGTGGCCTCTGTTGGTCTGTCACTTGTGTATGTATATGTTATAATTAGCTACTGTGCATGTTATTAGACTCTATGGATTTGTCAGTCACTTATGTATAGGTTGTAATTGGCTGGTGTGATTGGATGCTGGGTAGGTTGTGAGTGTATGCTATGCGTGCTGTCATTCAGTTAGGTGTGGTTGTGATTGGCTTCAGTGCATGTTGGTAATGCCTTAAATGTAGGTTGTGATTGGATGCTAGGTAGGTTGTGAGTGTATGATGTGTGTGCTGTCATTCAGCTAGGTATGGGTTGTGATTGGCTTCTGTGCATGTTGTTAATGCCTCAAATGTAGGTTGTGATTGGATGCTAGGTAGGTTGTGAGTGTATGCTGTGCATGCTATCATTCAATTAGGTGTGGGTTGTGATTGGGTTCTGTGCATGTTGTAAATGCCATAAATGTAGGTTGTGATTGGATCTTGTGTAAGTTGTGAGTGTCCGGTGTGTTTGTTGTCAGTGGCCTCTCTGCATGTTGTGATTGTCAACATATAGCTAAGTTATCATTTACTTGATATGCAGATTTATTGCTTACAACACTTTCCTTTGGGAAAAGAAAAGGCTTCAAAAAATAAGAATGCCATTATCTATTGGGATGAGGAAAAAGTAAAGACAAGAGTGAAATCAGAAAAAAGTAGTGACAGAGACTTACTACATGGTGTTACTAGTGTTGGTGGGGCTTCATCTAGTGCATCCAATACAGAAATAAAACTAACCCACCCAGTAAGTAAATAATGTCTAGGTGATTTTGGTGCTATGTACAATTTAGGGTAAAGATTACTTTAATTACTATTATTTTGCAGGAAATAAAGACAACTTATGAAAGGTTGGTCACTATGGTTAAAGGGTTGGTGTCGACAATTGGAGAAGAGTTGGCTTCCCTACAATTGAGGTTAACGAATGAGGGTGACAAGAAAGATATGGTGGAAGCAGTAAGCAGTGAAGATGATGAATAGAACTCAAGTGAAGATGAAGAAATTAGTGAAAATGGTAAAGGAAGTCTAAGAGATTCAGTATATGAGGAAGAATAGAGTAAACTTGAAAAACATGATAAGGAAGAGCAAAAAAGTGGTCCGCTTGAATGAGAAAGTAAATCTCAACATGAAGAGAAAGGAGAAGGGAGCGAACCAAAAAAAAATGACAAAGAAGAGGAGAAAAGTGCTCCCCCTGAAGAAGAGAGTCAATCTCAACATGAAGAGAAAGGAGAAGGGAGTGACCCTGGATCAAAGGATGATGGAGAAGAACAAACTAAAGACAAGTCTAGTGATGCAGCAGCAGAAGAGGATAAGGGGGGAGGCAATGATGAGGAGGGAAAGGATAAAATTATCAAGGAAGCACAGCAGGAAATGGAAGTAAGAAGGTCAACACGGGTGAGAAGTCGTGCAATCAAATCTCCCTAGTTAGAGGAGGTGAAAAAAAACCCGTGGCAAGAGACAACTTGATGAGAAAGAGGAATTATTCCGAATGTTAACAACAAGATGTGATGAAGATAAAGGTGGCAAGTAAGTGTTGGGACTGATTCTAATTGGAAAAATTGACCGACAATAATTTTACACATTGTAGAGATTCTAATTGGGACTGATTCTAATTAGGAATTATTCCAGATGTTAAATTGATGATTGTTTCTTTTGGTGAAGGTACATTGTTGAGATGTATGGGTACTACCTAACACGTGCTGAGCTTTACTGCCTACAAGACAGGAAATAGATGAACGACAGGGTAAGACAGTTGTTTACATAGACAGAGAAGTAGCAATGTCATTATGATTATGACTAATAGTTTGTGCTTGTGATATAGTTCATGTCTATGGTGGCGAGAACTTTGGTGGGAGATGAGAAAGAGAACTATGGTCATGTCGCTAGGCACATATTTTCACCTGAGTTAATATAAACAATGGCCGGTAATCCTCTTAGGTGGAGTTTAGAGAACTATGAACATGAAATCTTGCCAGAGCACTTAGGATATAACATTAGAGACTGTGACTTCATATTTGGCTTCACCCTTTTCAATTACCATTGGTTCTGTTATGTGCTAGATGTCAGAACCATGAGTTTCTATGCCCTCGATTCATTGGTCAATAATTTGACCATGTTGAGAATACAAAGAGAGGAAGAAGATGCAATCAAAACGGGGAAGAAACAAAAAAGGAAGCAAGGGGTTAGGTAAGGATAGATAGATCCTAAGCAATTCATGGCAAGAGGGCTTGTATGCATAACTTTTCATTCATTCTATTACTTGTTAATGTGTTATGGTTGCTTGTCTGCGTAAATGTCCTGGTTGTTAATACTTGCTGATTACTTGTCATTGGTAACTGTCAAGGTTGTTAATACTTCCTCATAACTTGTCATTCACTACTGTCAAACTTGTTCCTTTTTTTTCTTCTTGTTTTGTAGAAAGATTTTTTCTACCAAGTGCTTCATGTAGTCAAGCCAACACTATTTGAGGAAGAGGACAAAATTGACAAGGATCTCATATGGGCAAAAGTTCATGTCCAATCTGACACATGAGTTGTGGGTTGTGAACTACAAGTTTGCATGTTTGAGCTTTTGGGAGCTAATGTTCATTGACTAAAGTATTGGTTTTTCCTTTGCAGGGACTCTTGTGGGGTTCATGTTTTGAGCTGGTTACAAACATGGGATGGCACAGAGCATGGTGATGATGATTACACAATGCTTAAGTACTCCCCTCAAGAAATCCATGAATTGAAGGTTGGGTGCTTATGGTGGCTCGTTACTCATCGGAACAACCTACATGGTGATCAAGTGTTGTCTTTACTACGAGAAAACCCCCAAAACAAGAGGAAGAAATAAAGGATGAGCATAGATTGTATTTAGTGTTTTTTTAGTTGACAGCATAATGGCTGCTGAATGTAAAGTTCAGATTTCATTTTGTTATTTCACCATGTAATGACAGCTTGATGTTTAGATATATTAATGTGTATTGACATCTGATACTGGTTATGAAATTTTTTTTGTAATAGCATTCATGTGTTTTGACAAGACAAGAAATTCCTCTTTGCCACATCTATTTACAACCTCAAACAGGGTTGCTAACAACCCCAACACAAGGGGTTAACAACCTAGGCAGAAGCCCTGACAACTTACTCTGTGGGGTATCACAGCTTCTAAATACATTGTATTGTCAGCACATATAACAATCCTAACAACAAAAACTGGGAGCATTTTGAAGTCATTAACAGTTTTAACTGTCGGTAATAGGATTACACCGGATTTTTACTACATAAGTTCATTTACAACCTCAACGGGGGATTTTCACAACCCTAACACAATTGGTTAACAACCTGGCTAGTCTCCCTGACAACCCACTCTGTGGGGTACCACAGCTTGTAAATAGATTGTATCGTCAGCACATATAACGATCTTAACAACAAAAAATTGGGAGCATTTTGAAGTCATTAACAGTTTTAACTGTCTACAATAGGATTATACCAGATTTTTTCTCCATAAGTTCATTTACAGCCTTAAGGGGGGATTTTCACAACCCGAACACAACTGGTTAACAACCTGGGCAGTGCCCCTGATAACTTTGTAACAGTAACAAGTTTAGACTGCCAATGACAACCTCCATGGAGCCCGGTGACAAGTCCATTACAACATATTAACAACTACATCAAAATAGACATATGATCTTGTATCAGATTACAACCAGATGTCATTTATGTTGGAATGGCTGAACACCCAAGAGGGGGGGTGAATTGGGTGTTGATTAAAATTAAAAATCTTTTCGCAATGTAATGAAATTCATAAGAAATTCTGAGTATAAAAAACAATGAATCGAGATAAGCATAATCACAGTAGTAAAATGGTTTAGCTGGAAATATAAAGAGGTAATGGAAGAGAAGATGCAAACAGTGATTTATCCTGGTTCGGTCCTCACTGACCTACGTCCAGTCCCCAGGCTCCCCCTGAGATTTTCAATCGACTATCTCCCTCAAGTTTAACACGGGTACTTGAGAACCACTACAATTACAAGTTTGATCCGGGCACTTGTGACGCCACTTACAATTCTTAGACTAACCAGTCTAATTCAACAACAACCTCACACCGAGGTAATACTCCCCCTTACTCACCGTAAGGATACAATCTAATAATGATAATGAAGATTGAATATTTCTTCTCTCAAAGAAGTGATAGATGAATCTTAAGCACGTTTGGGAAACGCTTCTCTCTATCTCACGAATACATAAGTTTTAGAGTATGAAATACAGAGACAGGGAGTTTTCTCTCGGAGCTCTAAATGAGAATATATTGATTCGGCATTTTAGCATTTGATGTTGTAAGCTTGGACTCTTTTTTTTTTTTTCTTGTTTTGAATGCTCTTCTATTCATAGATGATATTGGGTACTTGACCGTTGAGCATTTTCTTCCCGTTTGGCTTGAAGAATATGACCGTTGAAACTAGCCGTTGGAAGCTTCTGACGAAAGTCGATTCTTCACCTCATAAATTCGTTGTGGCTCTTTACCTGAAATAATCTTCCTCAGATCAAGTGATAAGTATCTGATAATCTTAGAAACAATAAGTTGGAAAACATGGAATCAGTCATCAGATATTCAGATATTCAGAAAGTAAGATGAACTTACTTGATCGATGTCTTGATCGATAAAGCTTTGATCGATTATATTATCGATTAATTACATGAAGAAAAGATATAGCAGATAGATGCAATTATCGAATAGATTATGGATCATATGATGATCGAACGAATGATCGATAAATGATGAAGCATGAATACAGTGACCCAAAAATGATTTATGCAAGAATAAACCTTTTCAAGTTACTTTTGCCTTCGTATCCTTTTAATAGAGAGTTATGTGTAAAAGGAAGGCTGAGAAAAGCTTGAAGATAAAAAGATAAAAGATTTCGAAATCATCGTGAAATGCAGTTATGAAATGAACTTGTACAATGATCGAACAAGTGATCGAATACTTGTTGATCGATCAGGTTATCGATAATCCAAGTGTTACAGAAATGAAACTTCAGTCATTGATGATCGAACAAATTATCGATAAATGGATGATGGATAAGGTTATCGATAAACAATGAGTAAGAATATATTCAGCGAAAAACACAGACTATGTGGATTAATCGAACAGATGATCGATCAATGAATATTCGATCAAGTGATCGATAAAATGAAAAACAGAGATTTAATCCTGTAGCGTAAAGAAACTGATTATCGATCACGTTATGTGAAAACAGGAGTTTTAGGAAATCAGATGATCAATCATTATCGATGATCGATTAGGTGATTGAAAAAATGATTCAACATAAGTTAATGCAGTGAAGATAATAATCGATCATTTGATCAATAAATGTTTGATCGATCAATTGATCGATAAAAGATTTTGAATAAAATGGTTTTGACAGAGCACTATATCGAGTAAGAAGACATGTAATATTCGAACAAGTTATCGATAAAGGTCTGATCGATTAAATGATCGATTATTTCCTGCAAAATCTTATATTAAGCAGCTATACCAATGATGGATTAGTTAATCGATCAATCTAGCAAGTTATTGAGCAGACTAAATTATCTATCACGTGATCGATAAAGCTTGACAGTTATCGATCAAGTGATCGATAAACATATTCATCTATAACATTATCCAAAAATCATTTATCCAACATGTTACTGATAAAACCTTAATAATATGTATGAAGATAGAAGAGAAGAATTGAGGAGATAGTACCAGTAACTCGATGAGTATGTAGTCGCTTGATCAGGCTCGAGTAACATATGATAATGGCTTTTCATTTCTTCATCTCTTCTAGAGCTTTTACTCAATAACATGTTTGAGTAGCATGTTGCTTGAGAACTTAATCGTTCAGGGTAGAACTTCTGGTCTTTGCCTCAATAAATTCGAAGTCTGATTCCCTCAAAACGAAGGTCAACTTTGGGTGATCATAAATCTTCCAATTCAACTCCAAATTTTGCAAATGACCTATCCCCAGAAAGCTCTTTGAGTCTAATTTCTAATGCAACAAGAATCACCCCAAAATTCGTTGTGGTTGAAAAGTTATCTTCATCACAATGACTAAAGGTCGGAATCAAGGCGTTAATCCTTACTGCAATGTTTCGAGCAACATATCTCCCTCATATGAAACTCTTTGAAGTTGATTTTGGTGTCCATGAACCGTGTTCTGAGTCTAGTTTCATATGAATTAAGTTTCACCTCAAACAAATTTGTGGTTTGAGAGATATTGAAGAAATACCGAACCTATGTCAGAGCTGAACGAAGAACAGAGCATAACAAAGGATGTATTTTATCGATAACTTGATCGATAAATGGATGATCGATCAAGTGATCGATAATTGCCCATGAAAATCACCTCTGAAGCTTATTTTCCATGTTTATATGAAGGGTGACTCAATATATGATGGTATAACTTCCCGATTGTATATTTTCGCTTCCGACTGAGCCATTCAAACTTCTGATTGAGTATAGCAACATTTAACATCAAATCTATGAACTTGAATCTTGATATTTTCATTTGATCTTGCAAGTTCTTCTTTTCTCAATCTCTCTTCTTCTTCTTCCTCTTGATCATTCTCCATAACTCAAAGTGCAACATAATAACTCCTTTCTTTTCTTGAGGAAACTACACAAGATATTAAGTATGATAGTTAGTCAAAATATGAGATAAATAATTTATGTAAACTTTTTGCTCTATTATTTGACATCATCAAAACTAATCATATCTAACAATTTACCACTTGATATATATATGTACAATGTAACTACACCAAATTGACAACCCATTCAAAAAAGCATACGGGTTGCATGTGTGGATAATGACGAACAACTTGAAGTGTGGGTTATGACATTTACAAAATAATTCTATCACAAGCATTCACAAAAAGGAATATAAACAAGCCACCAACAAAGCTCAACTTGAATTGGGGTTCTAGCAAGTCTTTACTATGTGGCCTGGCTCATGGCATTTTTCATAGTGGTAAAGTTTTTTGTTTTGAAGTTGAGATTCAATCCTTCTTTTCTTTGGCCTTCCTGAGGGTCTTTTAGTGATTGATGGCTGTAAAAATGTTCCTGTCATCATCTGCGTAATGATGAGAGCTTCAGGATGTGGACAATCATGTGTCGCAATTGGACTCATACTACTTGCATATATCTTCTCTTGGGCTGATAGCTTATAGTAATTTTCTACAAATTCATAAACACTACCATGAAGTAGTTTTATCACTGCACATGCATGAATACAAGGTATCCCGTTCATTTGCCATGCTAAACAAGTGCATTTGTTTGTCGTGAGATCAATAGTGACACAAATTATTCTAGTAGGAGACGTAGGATAAACTTGAACTCTGTTATCTCCATAACATACACAGTGCATATTTTCCGCTCTTGTTATTTTTTCTTGCAACTTTGATTCAATATTTGGCCCAACGCCATTTGTCTAATTTCCTATTACCATTTTGCTTGCAACCATCTTCTTCGCTAATTTCTCCATATGCTCATGTATGAGAACTGACACATTGTGCTTCCTCTCCTTCAAAATCCAGGCATTAAACGACTCCGCAACATTAGTGGTGATGTTATCCTATCATTTAAACAGAAATTTGCTTAAAGCCCATCGATCTACATCTCCTTGAGTCTCAATCCAATCAACTAATTGTTGACAAAATGATCTAAGTTTCCCCATTGCAGCAACATATTCATCCTCAATCCTTGCATAGGCAATTCCATCCAGTATTTTCAATGCGACCTCCTTTGAAGTACCTAAAACTCGTGCCCTGTCTCGGTTAATTTTTAAATAATGTGTACTAAAATTTTCTTTCACATGCCTGTAGCAAAAAGCATGTCTCTCACCACCAAATACTGTCTACACCACCAATAATGGTATTATTCTGATCTGAAACTGTTGCTATCTCCACTGATCTTATGATGTCCTTCACATTCTGAAGAAACTAAGCCTAATCATCATTTGTCTCCCCAATAACTATAACATATGCTAATGGAAACATTTCATTGTCCGTATCATATGCATTAGCTGAAATCAATGTTCCCCTATAAGGACCACTTAGATGACATCTGTCTATACAGAGTATATTTCGACACCCTTCTAAAAATCCCTTAATTGAGCATCCATAAGCAATGAACACCCTCTCAAATCTATTACTATCCAACCCTTCCCACTGAGCAACTATGTTTGGATAAGTTTCAATAAGCCTTTCACAAATCCAGGGAATCACCATGTATGAATCCTGTGCACGACAATGTATTTCCCTCAATGCTCTTTCTCTACCCCTGTATGCTTGACTATAATTCAGTCACCCCATATTCTCTATACAAATCTCTTCTAAGTTCATTAGCATTCTTGTCTATATTACACCTCAAAGAATCCATCATGATTGATGATGTTAAGTCTGACCTTCCACTGTGAGATACAACCAAACTGTCCTGTGCATAATGCACATGCTCACTTCTTAATGTTTTTATTATTAAGAATTCAGAATCTTATCTTTGTCCCATTGAGTATGCAACCATATACCATGGGCATCCCTCCGCCATACACTTCACAATGATCTTTTGTTGATTGTTCTTCACAAATTTGTATGAAAAGTTCTCAGCAATGCTGTACCTATATAGTGCTTACCTAAGGGCCATTGCATTAGGAAAAATTTTTCCTTCTCCAATAACCAAACCCTTCCACTTTGTTGAATTCATTTCTAGAATTGGGGTTGGTATCATTTTTGAACCACATGGCAATGATAGTGGGTCTTCACTAACCGCATTGGGTGGAGACATGGAGAATGCATCTGAACCTCCGAACAAGTCTTCCATCCTACATAACAGAACAGGTTATGGGGTCGTTAATGACAACCTTCAATCACTATAATAACAACTTATGCACAACAATTGACAATAGCTAACATTACTTTGAAATTTAAATAATACAATTTACACATGTTGCTTTTCTATTGGAACATCTCTTGTTAGTTGTGAATTTTGATCTTTATTTTCTCCTATATATACAAGACTACTGTCACCATTGAAGTTAATCAAATGTTCCACTCTTTCATCATCTACAAGGTCCACAAATGTACACTCATCAAAGGTTACTATGAATTTTATAACTATTCCATTACTTTCTTCTCCCACAATTGATGCTACCATTGCTCTAAATTCTTCATATGATGTCCCTTCTTTTATCATTCTTGTTCTCACACTACCTCCAACATACTGCGTTTCACCTTCCAGACCATTAATAAATTGTCCTCCTATATGGAGGTAACAAAACAAATGCTTCCTACTTGAAGTTGTCATCCTTCACATCAACCTGTCACAATCACTTATAAATAACAAGTCATACAGTTATATTAACCACCTTCGATGTGCCCATTAACAAAACATTTAACCATCGCATTACAGGAGTTACAGCAATAAAAATATGTTATTTTTCATTCATTTTCATCACCAACACAGCATCAATGATTGAAAAACAGAGCATCATTCATTGAAAAATAGAGCTCTACGTTATAACCCTAGCCACGCATAACAAAACCACACCTAAGATGATTAAAACCACATATGACTAAAATGAGCCTCCCTTGATAGTTGTAGTGAGTTGAATCACATCCTTAATACTCACATACCCACAGCCAAGCAACTTTTCAAACCAACATTAAACTTCAAACTGGTTGTGTACAAAAGAAGAAAAATGCTGTTAATGATGAGACCGATGGAGAAGATGAAGAAAAATATAGCTTGCCTGCAATAATGGAGCACCAACGCAGACCTCTGTTTCTTCTTTCAGAAGCTTCTCTTCCTCATGCATGCTAACAGCCCAACGCATTAATTGAATCCAATGAGCTTCTCTCTGTCTGTTTTTTCTTTTTTCAATCAGTGAGGGCAACTCAGTCATTTCACAAATTCAATTATTTGCTCTGAGGTCCCTGGGGACTTAGGAAGAATTTGGAGATTTTTAGGGACCTTATTTGAATTAATTCTGTTTTGTGGGACCTGTGTGTAATATTCCCTATTTCTAAATATAATTTGACCTTTTTATCCCCAAAAAAAGACGAAGAAGAAACTTAACGCGTTAATTCTTCTTACATAAAAATTATCATATCTTTATGGCGGGGTCTCTCTCTCCGAGTGTAGAAATTTCAACCGGGGAACGTGGCTTGCATAACCCAATTTCACGGCCCCATCATGTCCCTCTTCCTTTGCCTGCTATAGCGTACTCTCTCTCTCTCTCTCTCTCTCTCTCTCTCTCGAATTCTGTCATGTATTGATACAGTTACATGTTTCATCCGCCATTCATTGATTCAGTTATATATGGCAGAACTTCGGAACCTATAATTTTTGTTTCGCTTTCTCACTCGTCTAATTACCTTGCTTTTGGTGAAGAAAAGGAGGATTGAAAGAGTTTTTCCATGTAAAGAAGCAGCTTCTTTTGGGTTAAGTTTCCTTGGTAATAAACATTTTTCCTTCTCAATGATTTTCCTTTTTCCTTATGCTTACATGATTATTTCTTTTCCGATTAATTTCTGGTCTTCTGTTTGTTTCCATCACTATCAGTATGAATTCTGAATAAGGTTCCGAGAATTGAACTTTCATGCTCTGTTTTTCATCCTCAATTGCAACAGTTCTTTTTTAACTTTTAGCAAAACAACAAAGAATAAATTGTTGTTTAACTCAGTTTATTATTGGTTTGTTCATATAATTAAATATTTGTTTAGTTATCATAAACAGTAATTGCTGAGAAATTAGGTCTAATAATGCGTACAGTTTATGACTTTGTTTGCTTAAACGCCTGCTGTGTTATAATTCCTTGTTTTATGCCTAGTCTCTGTTTAAGTACCATCGATTCAGGAATTTAAGACTTGTAAGCTTCCGTATTTAAATGTTCCGTCAATTTTTCACTTTCAGAGTTACGTGTATTGATTTGTATTGCTTCTGAGGATATTAATATTTAATTACTTCGTCGTCGTTGAAGATTGCAGATTGTGAGACAAACTGCCGGCCATTAATGCGCAATAAGTTCCGTTCTTAGAGAAACAAGATGGAAAAAACGTATCTATGGGTTCCAAAAGAGGGCCTTAACAAAAAGGATTCATTAGATGACTTACGCAAAGATAGGGAATTATCCAATGAAGAATCCTCAAGTTTTTCTGATTCACAGCTGAAGAAGTTGATCAAAAGGGCGAATTCTAGCGTCGCCATAGCTGTAAATATTGTTCAGTCACTAATCAGCAAGGATTTTTTCCCCTTTCATGGCCATTCACACTACCAGATACCGAAGAATATGATGAGTGTAGATGAGAAATATCTTCGTTGCTGTCAGGAATTCATACACATGAGCGCATTCAAAGGAGCTGGAAGCGACATAGCTGTGAACTCCGGATCAACAAATATACAAATTTTACCAGAAAGCTTGGATCCAGGTCAGTTTATTTTTGAATGTCCAATGACGGATGATATTGGGAGTGTAGTCATAAGTACTAGTCCTGTACGGTGGAGCTTAAGTTCAGTAACGAGGAGTAAAAGTGTGGTAAATATTTTAAGTAGTCCTTTGTTCCACCAATTTGGTGCTTCAGATAAGAATGAAAATTTGAGCATGATGAACTATACTGATACTAAAGGACTAACATGCTATGATTACATGGACTCTCCTAGTGGTTTGAGTATTTCTTCATCATATAAACTTAAAAAGGAAACTCCAATTATGAAAGGCCAAAAGTTTGGCTCTATGTCATCTGTTCATGAAAGGCTTGCTTCTACCTCGAGCACAAACTCGGATGGATTATCTTTTGCTTCTCCTGCACCATCTCAAGGAATGCTTCAATGCACATGGAGGGAAGGAATTCCTCAGTTTGTTTTTTCTGCAGATGATAAGAAAGAGATCTATGTAGCCAATCTGATGAAAGTAGGGCCAAAAGATAACAAGGCTTTGGACCATGTGTATCTCATTCATTTGGACAAGGGTGAGCAAAAGGGCCGTGAAATCTCCGACAGCAATTCACAACTTGTTGGGAAGGTGAATGTATCAACAAGTTTCACCCTTGACTCAAACAATGATAAAATCATGGAAACTGAATTTGTTTTGTTTGGTGACAATGGAAATTATGAGAAAGAACTGTACGGTTCAAGCCATACACAGAAGAGAAACAAGGGGCTATCAAGGAAATTGTCCAATGTTTTCAAAAGTCCTTTGTCAAAACACACAACACTCTCCAAATTTGATGAACTTCAAAGTTGTCCATGGGATCCACATGCAAATAGTGGGGTTAGTTTGTTAGAAGCTAATATTCCAGCAAATTTTGAGACGGCTGCCATTGTTGTCAAAGACCAAATTCCTTGTACTCAGAGAAATAAAGCAGGAGGTTGGGGTTTAAAATTTCTCAACAAATTTGAAGTCAGGCAAACTCCGTTGCTCCGTGAAGCTTGTACAAGAAGTACGGGTGATTGCTCAACTAGCATGAACATCCTAATTCCAGCCGGTATTCATGGTGGGCCAAGAGCCAGAAATGGTGGCCCATCCAGTCTCATTGACAGATGGAGATCTGGGGGCCTCTGTGACTGTGGTGGTTGGGATGAGGGATGTCCTCTAACAATATATCAGACAAGATCGACAAAAGCAGAGGTTCCTTCTCAAGTAGATATGCAAGAAGAGAGCAAGAACGTTGATTTAGTTCCTCAGGTATCCTAATCTCCTAATGTTCTGCTACGGCATTGAATTGAATGTGGTAACTGTTAGGATCTGTTTTGGCCACATGTACTCCTGTTTTGTGGGTGATTCTTGATCTATTGCTTATTTTATTCTCCTTGATGTTCTTGATTTTTTATCTCTGTTGCTGTATTATCATAATTTGACATTAGGCATGGCATAACTAAAATGAACTGTGATAAAATTTTCTGACAGTTTTCCCATGTATTCCTATGTATGCATAAGGAATGACTATATATGTTCTGATTGTTGCAAAGGCTGATATGTAATTACTGTATAATCTGCATCTGATGTCTAATTTTTTGGCAGCAGTTTCTCCTTAAACCTATACCATTTTGTGTTCCTAAATTTTTGACATAAATTCATCTGTAATGTTCAATATGCTTTCCTTGCCGTCTAATTATTTCGCATATTCTTTACGTGACAATGAAATGAAATGACCCTCTCCTCCTAACTGTTCAGGGTTCAAGGGATTTTACCCCCGCTTTGAGGATGGTGAGCATTCGTGATAATTTATACTTCATTCAGTTCCGGCCTCCCTTGTCTGCATTGCAGTCATTCTCCATTGCAGTGGCAATAATTCACACACAGAGCCCTATCCTCCGCTCCAATAGTGCATAGCGGCTTTGATAACAGTAGCTATAAACTAAGGTTTTGTAGCATTCATAATTTTTTTAATGATTGATGACAAGTTAGGTGTTTTGTACATGTACCAAATATTTATTCATATGTCAAGGTTTTTTGTTTATTGTAGTGTCAGAGGTTACTTGGTTCAGGTTTCCGAACTTTTCACGCCTGATTCCCAATTAAGCATTCTTGTAGCCATTTTTGTTTCCCCTTAGTTTGTGTAGCTTGTCTTCAAGGGACATATAGTGTAAAAGCTTTCTGACCAAAAGTGAGATTGAATTTGCCATATTTGAAGCATGTGAGACATTGTGTCTTTTCATTTCTTGACCAATAAGAAATTAATACGTTTATTGTATGAAAATTCATAGAGTTACAAATACCTTTTCATTCAAGTAAACTGCTCAATTTGTCTTACAACAATTTTGCAAGTTTCCCCACAAAGGCATCTTTAAGCGTGAATTAGAGTACTGTTCTCCGTCATCTCATTAACGTATATGATGCAGATGCTTCTTTGTTTAACATTTTCCAAATTAACAGTGTTAATTACTTAATTCAGGTTTTTGCTATGTGAATTAGGATTTCATTTAGAAATATTTTTTAAATATTTGATGTCAAAGAAATCTAGACTATCCTTACTGCCTGAATGGACAGGATTTATATGTTCAACAAATAAAAACCAATATGATTAGATCTAAGGGGATATATATATGATTTTTTAAATCTAGTCTTTGGACAAACCAAGATTTGGATTTGTACATACATTTAGTACCCAATTGTATTTGGAATATGATTATTACCTTTAATGAAAAAGATACTTGTGTTTAAGCAAGAAAAAAAGGGGGGAAAAAACTCTAGATTAATATATTTTGCTGACTCAGTGGTTGCGAGCGACTGACTTGTGTCAAATATTGGTTTGAAGTTGAAACAAACACCACGGAAAAAGCACTACGTAAACCTACTTTCTCTCTTTTTCACAATCTTACAACTTTGAATATGTGTGGTGCTTATCCAAAAAAGAAATATTTTACATAGCCAACGATTGCTGATCCATTTTACATGAAAAATATTCAAAAACACGCGCGCGCGCGCGCGGGGAGCATGAATTTGGATTGCATGGTCAGTATAAGAATTATTATCGAGTAATTTGTAAAATATCTATAACTATAGTCCACAAGCTCATAAGATCCAATTTATCCATGCCGTTTTTTTTTTTTTGGTACCTGGAAAAGTTCCTACTTTGTATTGTCATTATCCAAGGTTACAAGGAAAATTTGTAGTTTTCAAAAGGTTTGGCGAGTAAATTTTGGAGATTGAAACACACAACATGTGAACATGTGACCTCGAGCAGGTACAAGAAAACAAACTGAAAAGTGAAAGGAACTGAAAACGATTCATTGATGGCTAAGAAAAATTGGATGCATTCGTAGTTGATCATGTGATTCTTGCATAGATGAAATTACATCTCTCTCTATATATACACATAGACATACGCACTGATTTGGTTGATTAACTTATAGAGATTAAAAAAAGTTAAATAAATTAATTTAAAGTATTATATTTATCGTTCTTCTCCAAACTAATTTACTTGGCTTATAAATTAATATATAATATAATGATGCACATAAATATTTTAGAAAGATTATATAACATATACTATAATTAAGTAATTTTTTTAACTTCCTCAGCTTTTTAAAATTAGTTAATTAGATTTTATATTAAAGATCAGAGGTAGTATATATGTACACCAGCTGTGTGTGTATAATATGCTCGGCTCAATTAGCCTTATTTCAATGATATGAAACTGGCGAGATAAATCTTGGATTTATTTAGAATATTTGAAAGATTGAAACTATTAAAAATTAATCAAGAGTTGATAAATGATCAAAAATTAATAAAAATTGATGGGCACTACTTTTTAAATTTTTAGATTATATTATTTAAAATGTAATTTCTTTATACTTAATGCTTTCATTTCACCATAACATTGTTCCATACCTAATAAAACCTAATGCAGTTGAAGAGAAATCATAACATTAGATATTGAAAACGATATGTAACTTAATGCACTCATCCAAATATTTTAATTGTATATATTAAATTTTATTGGAATAACATTTTCTTTGTTATGCCATTAATTTATTTTTGTATTTTAGGTAGAAAAAGAGATTATAATAGGGAGAATTACAATTAAGTCCTAAGGAAGAAAAATAATTACTAACAAGTTCTAGTAATAATCAAAGTAGCTTGTAATGACAAGTTCTAGAATAGGAAATGACAACCTCTGAAACTTATTTTATAATTATTTTTCTTTCTTAGGACCTCATTATAGTTCTTCCGGTTGTACCATCATTTTCCCCCTTGGCACTAGAAGATTATGTTATTAGCAAGAAATAATTCAAAGAGAAATTGGCTGACAAGTCCCTATTTAGGAATTTTTTGCTTAACCTGATCTGAATGGAGCGGGTGCAATTTTTAGCTTTAATTATGTGCAACATATGTTTAATTATGTGTAAATATCTTCTGTTTCTAAATAGTTAAAAACTGCACATAGCAAAAAGTTGTGCCCCTGAGAATGAATTGCACTTGGGTCTATAAACAAAGTTAAGGTACCTTGGTCAAACATAAATTGTGATAAAAAGTGACAAAAGCAAATGTGTCCTAATATTTTTGTGTATGATTATTTTTATTTTACGTAATTTCAAATATAATAAAAAATTATTTTATCACCAATTCAACCCTAATTAGGATCAAAATATCATTAACCAAATTTCATAATTATAATATCACAAATTCACAGGATTAGTGATATAAAATCATTTTTTCTTCATTGATAATAAAAATGGCTTGGCCGATAATCTCAGAAATTACATACATGGGGATAGAGATCCCAAACTTCTTCATGCGGACTCCCTTTATTCCCATTCAAAATTTCCAGTCAACAGTGTCAGCCCATTAACAAATATGGGCTCAGTGATTTAAAAGCCCAAATAGTGAAGTCCCGGGATTGACGTTATGGTTCAATAAAATCCAAGTGCAGGCAAAAACCCTAATGGATTTATCCCTATAAATGTCAACATATGTCCCTCTGCTCGAGCTCGTCATCCCCGCAAACTCAAGATGGCGAAGCGGGGTTAGTCTGCTAGTTACTGCTTGATTTTCTGTTTTATGTACCAATACAGTAAAATGCATGTCCTTCATCTGTTTGTTTCATGAGAAATTGCATCAATTTTAAATATAATTTTGTTTTTTCCCCCCTTTTCCTGTTCTCCCTCCCGTTTGATTTTCTCTCTCATAAGCTTTGCTCTCGAGCCGTTGTCTTCTCTCGGATACGAGTGAATTTTTGTTTATCTATGGCGTACGAATGGTGGTATCCTTATTTTAATACTTTTATTTTCTATAGATGTCGCATTTACTTTTGGGGCACAAATTTTTGATTCAAATAAAGTGGCTGTTTTAACATTGAATTTATTGAAGCTGACGATGGCAAGGGTTTTAGTGGGAATGTATTGCCTAAATATTCACACTTCTGGGGATAGGTCGTGCAAGTTATAAGAATGAATTTATTGAAGTTGACAACACAGGGCAAAAAACCTTTATGTTGTTTCACTGAAGAGAATAACGTACAGGTTAAGACAGATTGCAATCTCTTTTTGTTGGTTCCATAGTCTTGGCTGGCCAACTGGGGGAAACCCCACCGGAAAAGAGGCCGAGAAAGAGTAGGGAGGCTCCTTCCACTTAGCTAGGGTAATGTGGAGCGACAGAATAGCCTTTCGGTTTCGGATGCTTGATCTTGTGAAGGTTTTTCTTGAATTTCATGTTAATTTGCTCCTTATGCTATTCTATTCTGTTGTGTTTCCAGTTCTAATCATTTCTCGCTATTCTACATTTCGTTTTTTTGGATGGAACTGTAGTGTTGTTTATAATGATGGAGCCTAGCTTGGGGATGAATTCTAACGAGACAGTAATCATTTATTGATTGATTGATAATGATAATGATTAGTTTGTTGCTGATTAAGCTCTTTCCTTATGTGTGCTCATTGGTTAATGTGCCATATAAGATTAACTCTTAAATCCAGATGTGCTTATATACTTGTACTTTTGTTGTTTGGGATTTACGTTAAGAAACTATTATTCTTCACCTTCTTTTTGTATGGTTTTGAAAATTTTTTCTCAGGAAACTTTGCTGGTAATGTAGTGTGGAGGATTTTATTTGTTGTCTCCACATGTCCCATAACCAGCAATATTGATACTCCCAACCTTCCTTTACCCGGACGATAACATTCTTATTTATTGTCCCTGTCAGGGTTGAGACATCTATATGTGCTTTTTGGGAGTCTTGTTCCTTTTGAAATCAATGTGACTTGCTCATGCTTCGTTTTGATTGACTTTCTGCGGTCAAATAATGTTAGTGCTTCTTTCGTTCTCTTGTGAATAATCAGTTGTTGTCTTTGTAACCCAGACATTAGTCAAGTATCCTTCATAAATCAAATTGGTTGATACTGTTACAAGTCTGGTAAACCAACAGAGTCCATCGTTACAGATGTGCTGGTTCTTTAAATGCTCACATCTGCTCCATTGGGGCCCTACAAGTAGTAGTTTTAATTTGTTTTTAGTTACTGGATTTTAGAGACAAGGGGGAGGGTGGCACGAGTTGTCCATTAAAGATAAAGGGGGAGGGGGAACTAAAGAGATAATTTAAAGTGACTCAGTAAAGAAATTTGAACAACTTCCATTGAGAAAGATAAATAATCTTGGAGAAGAGCAAGGATGTTTTGATAAATGATGGGACTATTTCCTCCGAAAACCGGGACGGTTTTGCTCAAATCTGTCTCGCAATCTCACTTGCTAGGCCGCTAAATGAAAGAAGAAAGTCAATAATTTTCATTGCTGAGCTGAGGTTACAGCAAATCGGAGAAGAAAAAGGAGATGAAATAAGATGGAAGAAACAAGCATGAAGGTGAGGGGGAAAAACAGAAACTAGCATGAAGGTACGTCCAAATCCACAACGCTGCAAACCTCGGCCATAATCAATAAAAATGAAAGGTTCCTTCTTGGTAGATCAGTTGGAAGTTGGAGCAGAATGCGAGATGCTCTGCCTGTTGCTTTAAAATTGTTGGGTTAGAAGGCAAGTGTTTTTTTTTTTTTTTTTGGTGGTGCCGCGAAAGCAATTTAGTATGCTAAAAGCAGTTACTTTCATTTGTTACTTGCGGCCACCACAGTTGCACGCATACACGGAGGAGGCCAATTTTTCAAATCTTGTGATCTATTTTAACTGTTACACGTTTTTTCCTTTTTCATTTCTTTTTTAATGTATTTTTAGTTTTATTGTTTTATAAATTTTGTTGCCAACGTCATAAAAAATTTGTTTACATGCTTTCCTTTTGCGAAAATATAAAATGATTATGATAAAAATTAAATGTATATAAATTTAGACTATTTAATATTTTTAAAATTTTTTTAATAATTTAATGTTTTATTCACTCACACACACATGTATGTATATAATATTAATTCTTAATGTAATTATAATAATACTGGTATCATTGGTTCGATTGATTTGATTTTTTTGAACTGTGACTTGCTGACCTCTTTGATTAGACATTCGATTCAGTTTTTAAAACATCAGGATTAATAGTACTTATTTGTCAAGAGCATTAAGCCACCATATTCTAATATCCAAACAGGAGTAATTTAAGACACTGGCGATAAAAAAGACTGCATGCATTGGAATATCTGTTCCAGCAGAAATGGTGAGGGGGAGGTCCTTGAAAGCAAATGATCGAATGAAAAAGGGTACTCATATTCCGCTGTTTTCTATGCCAAAGAATGATACTCCAGCCTTCATGGATAACCTGTAAGGCTCATTGAAGGCCAAGCACGGGAGAATTGTAGGGTCTTGGATTTCTTTTTTTTTTTTTTTATAAGTACAAATTTTATTTAAAAAAAACAAGTAAAATGATATATATAAACTATTGTATCCCTTTACGTGGTAAATTTTGATAAGAAAAATAGGAGCCCTATGAAAAAAAGGAAAAAAAGAAAAACAGCATGAATACTAAAACTTGAAAATTGAAAGTGGAGAGCTCGAAATGGACATGTTGGACCATAATATTGCAAGATAGATGGGATGTGTAACATCCAAGATTATGGGTTTAGAATAGTAAGAAATAGCTTGAGATATGAAGGCTATTATATTTTTTTTGGTAGGAGTCCAAAAGGTTTCTTGGAAGGTCGAGAGGATTTTTAGAGACTAAACCGTAAAGCGAAAGTTCTCTGAGACTGAGAAAAGAGAAAGATAGAGATTTTGGTGGAGCCTCAAAAGGGTCTACTATAAAGAATTGAGGTGATTAAGGGTTAGAGGCTATGCTGGAAACCTCAGTGGAAAGATTCCTAAGGTTAAACACAAGCATGGACCTAAATGCGAATTTGAAAAGTTTCAGGTTAGAATGGGTGAAAAGGAAGCGTGAAAATCCTAGAAAAATCTCAAAAAATGGGAAATGATGTTTAAAGGTCTTTGTGAGAAGAAAAATGATGAAAATACCCTTGAGATGACTTTAATGAAATTTTTAAGATTATGGCTTATTTTGAAGTATACAGCTAGATTTAACTATTTGAGCCATGAGAAAATCTTAAAAAAGTAATTAAAAATTGGGATTCATGAATTAAAGGCTACAAAAAATTATAAAATTAGTCTCGTCCTCAAAAGGCTACCAGAATGGCTTTAGGAATATTTAAAAGCCAATTATGTCATTGAAGGCATTTTACAGAAAATTTAAAAAGAAATACTTATAAGTCGAGTTATGGTCTGAGAAAATTCACAGAATTTTTTTAAGAATTAAAGAAAGTTTATGGTGCAGACAAATGAATTTTTGAAACTCTGGATTGAATAAAATATTCTAGTCAAATATTAAATAATTTTTGTCCCCTAAATAGGAGACAAAGTTAGAAAATATCTAAGATATTTTATGAAAAGCACTGATTTAGCATGCTGACTCGTCAGAACCCATTTAGAACGCTATTGAGTCATCTAGTGAGTCACCGAGAGATAATTATGGACAGTAGAGAAGGCAAACCACAATACGGGTAGGTTTTCAACAGTCCTTTGTCTACCTGACATTGTGAAATCTCTATTGTATGACTCAGTGAGTCTAAGTAGCTAGTCAATAGAGCTGACTCCTTTTCTCTCTGCTCCTCCATATTGGCACCAAAAGGGAAGCTCTCCTATTGGTTAGAAATTCCAAGAAAGCACATGGGAAAAAAAAGGGCCGGTAAGAGGCAAATAAGAGTGGTAGTTTGGAAGCTCGTTGGAGAAGCTTTCCAATTCTTTTCTCTTCTCTTTCACGCCATATGTATGACTTATGGTTGGTGGAAATGTTGCAAGAAGATACTTGGCAAGTTGATCATAACATGTGGCGAAATCATGAGCTTGATGCCTTAATCAAGAAACACATGGCATATTTGATGTAAGGCACGGTGATGTCATGAGACACTTGTTATCTTGATTACACTTGGCAAGATGATAAGGAAGGAGGTTTAATCATGGACACAAGTCATGGTAAAGGTGAATTAGTTTAGCTATGGTAAATGGTAATTATGGAATTATAAATACCCCTCATCTCCCATTTATGCAAGGATTTTCGACTAAGAGGAGAGTCTAGAAGAAGGGAGCACAAAATTTCTCAAGGGAAAAGGAAGAAGAAGAAGCTCATGAATTTCAAGGAAAATCCAAGGTCCAAGACAAGGGCCATGAGACACTAAGGAAAAGGAATGATGAGATTGATTAAGGAATCTTGATAGTTGGCAAGCATGGAAGAAGAAAGCCTAAGGATAAAAGGTAGTAAACTTATCCCAACGTATGCTTGATATGTATGCTTGTGTGTTGATGTTGCTTGATGATGAATGAAAGCATAATTAATAAAATGTTACTCTATTTTTTGTTTAATTCATGGCCATGTGTGTTTGAAATATTGAGCATATGAATATGACATTTTAAAGCATGAAATTATATGATACCAAACATGTCATATACTGGCATTTATTTTGCATGCATCAAAGGTAATGTTTGCTATTAAGATTCTCCCGAATCTCACTCTACCCTAACCAACCCTAATAGGTGCAAAGATCATGAGAGAATAATGCAAGGTGTGGAAATGCAAGAATGAAGGAAGAGCTGAAGAATTAAATAAGTTGTTATAATATTATATCAAGTAATGCATTATACTGATTAATGTTTAATTATGCCTCTCAATGTTATGCAATATGTTATGATAATATATTCATAAACATATTGTAGATGGTATGCATTAATATATGATAGTATTGACATGCATGATTAAATGAGATAATATACATGAAAGATGGAATGATAACATGCAAGAAAGTAATTAATTATGCAATATTATTGCAAGTTAGGGGTATAGTTTATCCTTAAATGAGTCACGAATTTGTGACGAAGTGTAATTGAGACAAATGAACGAATCTGCCTATGAAATTTGGTGAGCACCTAGAGCACATCTTAAGATTTAAAACAAGTGGTAAATCACTTAAAATGATGCATGTGCTAAAAGTTATGATTATTTAAAGTTAGGGCAGAGAAACTGGAAAGTATAATTTTGACCAAATAAATAGTAAACTTCCACGAATTAACAGTATAAATTGGCAAGGTTGGACAAAAAATTGAAAGATCTTCAAATAAAATTTTGAATCGCTTCAATAAGATTTTTCTATAATTAGTTATGAATTTTCAAAGTTGGACAAAAAATCTAGAATTAACTAGTGAATAGTAACCTAAGTAACCAAATGTAAATTTTCAATCTACCGGCTTGTTTCATGATCCGCTTGAGCTGTAACGCTTCTAAATGCGTACTAAAGGGTAAAAAAGAAGGATTTTTTAGGATGCATCAAGATGAGGTGACCAAATGCAAAGTAAGCATTAAGGCCAGTCACCTGTAAGCCAAAGGATGATAATGAAGCTATTAGACTTTATTATCATCCTTAAATATGCCAAAGGATGATAATGAAGCTATTAGACTTTATTGAGAGTTGAAAGGCGATGTTGAAGTATAAAAAGATTAGCGCAAGTCTCCTGGAAGCCTAAAGGTGTAATTAATGTTCTTCTAATAGTATTTATTTTGCCAAACGAATCATTTTAGTTGATAATTGCAAACTTAACCATGACAGGAAAAGGTTAAGTTAAATGTTTAGAAAGTCACTATGGTGATACTACAAAAAATGGATATGCACCATAAGTATATGGGTTATGAAATAGTTAATGGTATATCAAGATTGATCCTACAGAAAACTCAATCAACCAATGATTAAACACTAAATTTCCTCTTTTCATTTAAGTTGAGCAAACAAAATTGAATTCAATTGAGTGAAAAGAAACTTAATTAAATTCTTTTATATGAAGTTTTATTTGCATAAACTATCTTGTAGGATACTATTTTGTAGGAAACCAAATAAAGTGAGTTTAGACATGATTGATCTTTGGAATATGATGTGAGTTAAAGTTTTAATAAGTTATTGTTCCTGTATATGTGTATATCTATTTGAATGTTTGAATCATGTGCATTTGGAATGGGTTATGGAGGAGATGATTGAAGTTATTGAGATCTATATACTTGTCATATGGTATTGGCCTCCATATAGAGCTCTATGGTTGGCCACTATTATTATCTCACTAGTTTTTTGAGGGACTGCGACACTCTGCTAGTTTCTCAAGGAGAAACCTATAGTCCACTGAGTGCTCTGTGGTCTTTGGCCAATTAACATCACTTGTGTGGTGAGCTTGTGAGAGTAGCTAGTAAAATAGAAAGAACTTAGTCCATAGGTCTAGTGGGCGGAAATAAGGAGAATATAAAGGTAGATTTGGGTTAATAAATTACATATGACATGAAATCTTCATTGATATTTATATCTTTTGAATAAATGCAAAGTATGTTATGTCTTATGTTATTATCAGCTTTATGAGACTAGCGGAAATATCTGACATATATGGTCATTATGAGTTTAACTGTTAAATAAACATTTATTGAATATTATTAACTTAGTATATCCCACTTGACACCTCGCTAGCCCATGCTAGTGTATGTGATAGGTAAGGATTTAGTTATTGATATATTATCTCACCTTTGTAATTCAACATTTTTTCAGGTAAAAGCTTTAGAGGAGGGACGTCAGGGAAGGCTCATGAGGAGTAAAGTTACAATAGCAACTTGTAGTGTATCCTCGATCTATGAGTTATGTTTTTTTCTTGTATATTATTACCTTAGGACAATCCGTGTTTAATTGATTCATGAATTATCATGTTTTTGTGTCCTTTTATTTATTTTGTTGTGGTACGCATGCTGGTAGTCGACCAGAGGCCTAGGATCACATGTAATCTGTTTATTATGAATTTATTATTAAAAAATGAATTAAGACTTAATTCTTACTATTTTGATTTATGAGCTATATAATATGTTGTTTTATATTAGATGAGATTGATCTTTTTTTTTTTTATATGGTTTGCATTTAAATGAGTTAAGAAAAGTTGTTTTATCCATGATAGGGTGTGTGATTAGGTGCTATTCTTTTCTATAACAGATAACATTATTGTATAATGAGTTAGTTTATATGATTGTTATATATTTGAATTTGTTGTTAGCGTGGTTTGATTGTAAAAGAAATAAAATTATTTCTTGAAGTTACTCTGAATAGTTAAGTTTATCAGTTTATTTATGAAGGTTATTTCACTCATGACAATATTATAATGAAATACAAAGCATAAAATCCAATAGAGGCAATGCTAGTCTTCATAGTAGACTCTAGACCTTTGATGTCTTCCTTGTTGGTCCTTTTCTAGAGCTCTCACTTAAAAAACATAAGGGAAAAGAGTGAGACAAGTGTCTTAGTAATCCTAGTTCTACCCATTATACTTACCTGCACAAACCATAAGGTATATAGAGAACGAGGGTTAATAAAATAGTTTAAAATCATATTTATCAGTATAACAAGATTTAACAATT